AAAAAGAGTTTGTACGAGTACCTAGGAGATACACCCGTGTCATTTTTTTGCAGTAGTGCAATGCTGAGATTTCCATATATACTTTGTCCGTAGTCCATGCAGAGTTTCAACTTCTCTACATCGTTTCCATGCCAACAGTGTTGCCAAGTGACAACCAGCTGACAGGTTTCCAATGTCACCATGCGTGGAGGGGGCCCCCCGAGCACATAACAGGAAAATTCCAAGTTCTCCAGCTTCCAGGGGCCTCCACGGCATCTGGTTGTATGACCGTTCTGTCACTCCAAAACACCATGACAGCAAAAGAAAGGGACATGGGGACAAGAGCCTATGCAGTTTACATGCAGTTCCTTTGGACAGCAGAAGGGGCAGGGATGAATAGGGGCTATTAAGATTTTACAGATAAATTACACAAAGAAAAAAGGCAAATTATTTATATACGAAATCTGTACAAGGCCTTCACTTCGCCGTCATCATTTGTACGAACTCTGCAGGGTTGAAGAGGGGAAAAAAAAAAATTATAAAATTTTACATTTAAAAAGTCAGCCCAAAATGTTTACAAAAAAAAGAAAAAAAAAAGACTAATAGAGAACTATATACCAACCTTCATAGTTGACCTGTCCATCCCCATCAATGTCTGCTTCTCTGATCATTTCATCCACCTCTTCATCAGTCAACTTCTCACCAAGGTTTGTCATCACATGGCGCAGCTCAGCAGCACTGATGTAGCCATTCCCATCCTGAGAAATCAGGTCAGTCAGTGAGCTCCCCTTCTTACAAACTACAGTGCATATGTACACTAGAGCGGCTGGATGCATTTACCTTGTCAAAGACACGGAATGCTTCTCTGATCTCCTCCTCGCTGTCTGTGTCCTTCATCTTCCTGGCCATCATGGTCAGAAATTCTGGGAAGTCTATCGTTCCATTTCCTGAAGAAAAAAAGTTTTTAAAAAGCAGCACATTTGAGCTACTGACATCCAGCACAGTGACCGTGTAAACAGCTGGAAGCCTTTGAGGTTTGATCGAGTTCTCACCATCAGCATCCACTTCATTGATCATGTCCTGCAGTTCTGCCTCTGTGGGATTCTGGCCCAGAGAGCGCATGACTGTGCCCAGCTCTTTGGTAGTGATGGTGCCATCTCCATCCTTGTCAAAGAGTGAGAAGGCCTCCTTGAATTCTAGTTGCAACAAAGAGAGTTGGCTTTTTAGTGAGGGGGAAAAAAAACAAAACAAAACAAAAAAAACCCCCCACACCTGTAAAGTAATCGGCAACAACTGGCAAGACACCACAACATCACGTCACAAAGCCCACTTTTAAGACCAAGCTCATAATTGTATCCTTTAGTGTCCATATAAATCAACTCCGAGAGACTGATGAGACCCTCTCGAGTTCCAACGACAAGTTTCTGGCTAAACAAGAGCAGCAACCGCGAGGCGGAGCAGAAGAGGGTAAAGTTGTGCTACATCTACGACAAATGACAGCCCCGTGCAGCTTTGGTGGAGCCCTGAGGAATGACGAACAATGACACACTCATCAAGCGTGATGAGGCCAACAGGCAATGTGTAGTGGCGTGCAGCAGCTTGTCAGTGTCAGGAAAACTATGAACCTGCCCTGCCATTTCCAGGGTCAAACACATAGGGCAACACCCTTTTTTGTTCTGACAGAGAGGGCCTGCTGTGCACAGCGGGAATATCAACAGGGACGGATTTCCATGGGGCAAGCCGCAGGTCATGCGGGAAGGTATAAGGAAGCCACTAAATCGTATGAATCATCTTTATAGACTTTACAGGCCTGCAATATTTACATAACACCTTATTGTAGCATACCAGCGCACCAACCCCAGTATACTACCACAAATGTTCTTGTAGCACTCCCATTTCATGAGCAAGTACCTCACGCCATACGCAAGCATATAAAGGTGAGCACCAACAGCTCGCCAGAACGCACAGCTCTTTCAGATTACATCATTTATTACATGGCAACCATGAAAATGCAAAGTTTTCCATGAGGGAGTCCTTAAGCGCTCCAGTGCCAGTAAGCAACAGCGGTTTCTTTCATTCCAGTTTTATGACCAGCAGGCTGCTCTGTGGAACGCCTTAAAAGGCAAAAGTATAAATCCACTGCAATGGGATGCAAAGATCCATAAGGCAGGCCACTTGCAGTTATGAGGAAAAGTAGAAGATCAATGCAGCCATGTCTTACCAGCAATCTGCTCTTCTGTAAGTTGATCAGCCTGCAATATACACGAACAAAAAACAGCTTTTAGTATGCCAGACAAGAAAAATAAAAAATATACACACACACGCCTCGCGTTACACTTTCCTGCTTAACCCCCCCCTCCCCCTCCCATGCTGGTTTACGTGGATTCTCTCAAATTTACAGCCGCGTTTTGACACAGCTGCTACAGCTGACGAAAATATGTTGTTACAACAGCAATATTTAGTACTACCAGTAAATTTGCACAAAGGCATTTTCTTGACTGTAAGCCAACACTTTGTCCTACAGAAGGAGGAAAAAACAGAAAAAAAAAAAGATCGCCACGCCATTGGCAATTGCTCGAAATATTGGAGCGATCGTCGAAGACCCCAAATTTGCGGTATAAAATTAATGTCGTACAATTTGGCGGTAAACGTTAGCTAGGCAGAGCCGCACTTAGCTAGCTACCATTACATGCCGGTTCATCAACTCAAGACAACGCCACACACGTTCAGCACAATGAGTGACTAATACAGCAAGTAATACCGCGTTTAGCAAATAGTCACAATACAGCTTACTCGGTTAAAGGATACTACTAGGCGGGACACTAGCTAGGACGCAGCTGAACTGCCATAAAAAGCAACGTTATTGGGACACTCGACGCACATGCACCATTTTAAGTGTAAATGCGTAAACGGTGCTCAACAGACGTTATACTTTCATTCAGTCTAAACAGAAGCTTCCTCGGACGGGTTAGTTTTGCATATCTACTGTAAAGAAGACGTTTGCTCGGCTAGCAATGCGGTAGTTACAGCGGGCATTTTTGAGTTACGTTTTATTTCCGTTCATTCCGACCGGAAAAAAAACAACGGGTTAGAGGTTTACGAACGGATCCAACCCGCAAATGAAAGCCAGTCTTATTTCCCTTACCATTTCGATGTAGATGTAGTGGCTGGTTCACGACAAATTCGTAATAAACCTAAGCCGAATAAGCTTCCAAAACTCAACACTCTCTATGAACACACTGACACAGAGGCAACTGGACTCGCCTTTAACGGCTATTCGAAACTCCTCCTCTTTTTTAATATCAATGCGCCAACTCGCCTCTTCTACAGGTCCCTAATTATTATTATTTTAAAAATCGTAATCGATATCTATACAGTAAGAACAAGAAACAAGTTAAACATTCATCTATGAATGCTGTGAAGGTTTCGACTCTGATATTTATAATCACACCGCGTATCCCCTGCGGTCTACATAACGGCGGATTAATACTTTCTGCTACTACGTGATGGGGCACAAGCTGTAGCCGAAAGAAATCGCGCTTTCTGATTGGTGTGTTTGTACCTGCAATGCGTCACTCCCATGGTCTGCGCTGCCGCTGCATCTTATCCATAGACATCTCAGTCAGTGCCACAGGCACAGCAGACAAGCTTGTTGCATAGTGTGTATACATATGGGCAACGTCTTCAGAGAGGCACAATAACACAATTCTGATAAGTAATTAGCTACCAGTAAGAAAAATGATTACTTGTAAATGAGCTAGCACTGACCCAGTTTGTGCTTCTATTTATTCTATTACTGCAGTTTTCTCATTTCTGATTGCATTACTTATATTTTATTAGTGTGCTGATAGCCATGCTGTTTTAAATGGCTGTTACAAGGTTACCCCAGACTGATCCTGCGTTCCTCCTTTCTGCTGTGCAAGTGTTCATCACTTTGAATTTTATGCATAATTAGATGCAGCGTCAGGGATGGAGTGTTTGGGTCTAATAGTTAGGTGTTACAGCTCGTGCATGCGTGCGAGTGTGTGCACTGTGCACATTTAGATGTGTAATATGTAAGTGGGTCTGTTGCTGTCAGATGATGCTCGGGTCTCATTGTGCTGCTGCTGGTGTGGATTGGAGTATCTGATAGCCTGATTGCTTATGCCTGACTGCTCTCCTGTCTCCCAGTGACCACCTGTCTCTGCCCTGGCCCCGTGGGAGACGGCGGGGAAGAAGGTGGAGGAGGGTGGACAGAGATGTGTGAGGAGAAAGATTTGAAGAACAACTCTGGAATGTACTAGAATCTCCAATGTGCCTAAACAGCCTCAACCCCCTGACTTTCTCCCAGTTCTTCTTATTATTAGAGACGAATGTCACACTATAAGCATAAGCAGAATTTGTCACATTTATATGGAAGAAATGATGACCCAGAATGCTTTCCGATTCCATCTGAGCTGTTTACAGAAGTGCTGTTGATCGTGCCCTGTGAGCCGCTGAGCAGCCTCAGAATGAGCCGGCCAAGCCCACTCTACAATTGCAAAACAAAAAGTAACTAATCTGAATCGTACTGGATTCTTTTCATTGAACTCTGTTTTGTTATTTTCCCGTATTGAGGTTTTTGTCACTGTGCAGATTAGGCAATGCCAGAGGTGACGGCACAGAAGCCTGAATCGGTCACAAGAACCAGTTAAGCTGATGCATGTGCGATGACTGTACACGGAGGTGTACGAATTCACTTTGCGTCTCCTTAAAAACACTTGGCAAACAGGACAATGTGGACTTCTATGCACTTTTGTCAATGCCGCAGACATTTAACTGCTTTCAGCTCACACGTTATTAAGGAACGTCAATGGGGAATTGCTCTAATAAGACCTTTTTAGACACAATCGTACACTGTTGGGCCATAAATATTTCAAAAACATAATAGCTTTCCACTTTGGCCTCCTGCCCCGGTTTCTATAGCTACACTTTATCTAATGTGCAGTATTGGCTGTTTGATTGGTTGATGACGTGACTTTCAATGCCCCTCAGGTCTCAGAGCGCCTCGTTCCGGGTCAAAGGTATGTACGGGCTGGATTTTAATAAGGATTGGGCATACTGGAACTAAAGAGGTGTTACTTAATGGTCTATAAAACTTGAAACCAGACTCCATGATGTAAGCCAAGCAGGCTTTAAAATGAACACTAGGCTTAACATGGAACACTATACAGTATTTGTTGCAGGCCTGTTTTGGCATTATGGATGTTGGGTATCGTGTTAACTCCGGGGTATTATTTTTTTTATTATTTATTTAGTCGCTCAGATTAATCACAATGCTCAAACCACTGCAGGGCACTAGCACATATTACGTCTCCCCTCTTCTTATCAGCTCTGTGAATATGTAACTACCTCACGTATTGCTTTCTTATCAAACGCTGCCCAGCCCAGAGCTTTTCTTTTTATAATACTGCAGTTTTCATTACGGTACTGCAGGGGTCAAAGTTCGCTTTAGTTCAGTGGAAATGAGCTCAAGTCAGCCCTCCATCTTCATTAATACATTGCTTCCCCCAAAACGTTAATGCTCCTTCCCACTGACAGCAGTTAGTTTTAGAGGTGGGTGGATCGATCCAGATATCGATGGTATGGATACCAATGCTGCTATTGGTACTGGAATGATACCAGTGCAATAGGAGGGATACTTTGTTCTATCCTCTAGGTTCAGTATGTAGCCCACTGAATTGTGTTAAATAAAAGACTTTATTGGAAATGCTATTTATAGCCTATAGCATGTTTAAACAACAGAAGCGGACCCAAAGTGCTTTAAGAGACAGCCATTTACATCCTATGTGCTATCCCTGCGACAGACTGGTGATCTCTCCGAGCTGTACTCCGCGTCTCGCCCTATGGTAGCTGGCATGGGCTCTCAAACAAAACAGCTTTCAAGCAAGTTGTGCGAGGACTTTGAGGGATGGGAACCGCGGGTGACAAATATGAGACGATGTTTACCTGTGTAACCGAAAGACGCGGGCGCCATTTTTAATGAATGAGGATTTGTAATGCACCTGCTGCTTCAGTGCCAAGTGAGAGGATTGCCTTTCATGGTAGAGAATGGCTGTTAGCCGTGTGTCAAGCCAGTAGTGAAAAGAGTTTTTGCATCGTGTCAGCAACGTGCACATCGGGCGCTGCACCTGTTTGCTTTGGAGAGCGTGTTAGAACATCTGAATGCAACTGTGTATGTTGACATGCAGGGATGGTCAAACAGCAGGGGGGGAAGGGTGCGTTTTGTGCATGTATGTATTTTATTTTATCTTCTTACGAGGAGAAAATTCAAGGGAAAAACAAGTATCTCAACAAGGTGTCTGAAATAGCTTCACTCTTCCTTAGCACGGATTCTCACAGTATGTGGCTCTCTGCTGGAGGGAGGGAGCACCATTTTTCCATAGTGTTCTGGTGAATTCTCTCCCAGAATGGGAGGCAGAGCCTTCACCTTTCAGGCCTCTCTTCTGTGGAGCCAGCTTCTTTAACTTTAGGCTTAAACTTTCCTTTTTGATAAAACAAGTAGTTAGCGCTGGATCAATGACTCTGAACCCTCAGTAAGTTAAGTCTAGGCTTATACGCTGATATAACGAGTGGTTCTTCTTCACTCACCTCTTATTGCTCACTATGCATATACACCACTTTGCACTTAATCATTAGTTACTATTAATCTCTGGCTCTCTTTCACAGTATATCTTTTGTCCCGTCTTCCTTCCCTCACCCCCAACCAGTTGTGGCAGATGGCCGCCCCTCCCAAAGCCTTGTTGTGCTGGAGGTTTCTTCCTGTTAAAGGGGAGTTTTTCCCTCCCACTATTGCCAAGTGCTTGTTCACAGGGAGCTGATTGTTGGAGCTTTCTCTCTATTATTGTAGGGTCTTTATCTTATAATATAAAGTAACTTGAAGTGACTGCCGTGATTTGGTGCCATACAATTAAAACTGAACTGAACTGCATGAAGATCTCACTGGGTGTTCAAGCGGGTTGAGATCTGTTTCCTGCAAAGATCATGACACATGGAAGGGACCGCTGTTAGCAGGATAGAAAGAGAAAAAAAGGTGACTACTTGGGATATCCCTCTAATTAAAACCCTCCCATGCCATAGGTACATGTCACTGTACTCTGACCCCTTGTTAGGAACAAAGGTTTGGGTTTTTCCTTCAATCTGTCACCTGTCTGTACATCTGACTAGCCTCTGCAAATAATTCCTGATTACTAGCAATAGTTCCCAGCACACAGTGGTCAGACATCTGGTCCATTCAGTAACGCTGTAAACCACTCCCTGTCAGCAAGAATGGCTTTATAGCCATTCAATAAGGGTATTAGCCATATAAGGTCTAACAACGGGCTAGCCGCTCATGAGTCAATCCCATAGGGCACCCTGGCCTACCTGTTACTGAGAAAAGACTTGTTTTTCAAAATTACATCATGAGGCAGAAATGATTAATGGCTTCAAATCGTATAAGAGGATTTGGTCTGGGCCTGTGATTCCCTGCCTATTTCAATCATGTTGTGATGAAATGGATATAGTGTTAAGCATGCACTTAGTTTCCTACCCCCTCTTCCCGAAACGTGTTACTGTTTGTAAAGCCTGGCACTAAATCAAGTGGAATGCACCCCCCTCCCACCAAAAAACAAAACCTGCACATGCTAGTAGTTTTATTTGATAGGATCCGAAGGACAAAACCACTTACTGGCTGTCACTACAGTCACTACAGTTTATCTTTACTCGCTGGCTTTTTATTTTCCCTCCTGCAATTCCCCCACCCGCCCGCCCCAACACAAACTCTTTCCTTGACTCTGTCTAACTCTGTCCTTCTCCCTTCCACCCTTTCTCTCACTGGCTCGCTTCCAGGTTGTCTGCTGCAGAGTTCAAACACTGCAGCCTTCAGCAGCACATGAAACAGTGCTGCTTGGAACCATCCAGAAAGGTGGCACTATAAAGCTCCGATGCCAAGGTGAATTCATCCTCACCAGGTGCTACCCGTGCTTTCGCACAGGGGTCGCAGGGTCAGGAGCAGCTTGTTGTCTGTGCTTCTTTCTTTCCAGAAGTTCCCCGTACAAATGGTCTGTGTAGTGTGGGTGTAATCTCAGTTTACTCTCTCAGTCAGCCCTGTAGAAAGTGAAACCAGAGGAATCAACGAGCATCACAGAGGTTAGGCAGGGGCATTTTTGTGCACGAGCACCTTCTCTGGTGTGCAAAAGAAGTGACGGGGTAGAGAGTTGCAGCAGCTCTCGCGTCCTTGACCCTTGCTGGAGTGCGGGCCAAGTCTGTCTCCGCAGTGGCAGGGACCTGCAGGGCTGCCTCGCTCCGTGCGCCCTCTCAGATGATCTCATTCTGCAGGGGGTAGCTCTCTCTGCTGCATGCTGCAGCCGCTTCCAGATGAAGGCTGCAGAACAGGTGTCAGGCTGTCTGTGTGTGCGTTTATGTGAAGCTGTGGGAGTGCTGTTTCTGCTCAGACCCAGCTCGTAAACAAATGTGACTGAGCCAGTTTGTGTGGAAAGTCTCAGCTCTGACCCCTGGTGGTAGGAGCAGGAATTGCATGAAGCGTTGTGAAAGGAATACTAATCAAACGCAATCCTGGAAAATAACTGTCTATTTCTCTAAGTGCTGTACAGAAATATAAGTATGAGGTTACATTTAATTTACATTAAGATACAAAGAAATAGTTAATAAACAGTCAGAAAGGGAGCATTAAGCCTGTAAGTACTTATTTTATTTAAAGTACACTTTGTGGATAATACTTTGAAACTTTTACTGAAGGTTTTTACAAAACTTTATGTACATGCAGTATTACAGAGTACCCCTCCTTTCAGTTCAACATATTAACTAACAAGCATACAAATCTTTTAACTGCCGATTGGTTGAGTAGGTGTGGTTCTTTGTTACAGGCAGCAAAGATTAAACTGCTACAGGACTGTTGTGATTGTTTAGACTGTCCACTTGTTTAAATAACATAAAACCCATGTCCCCAAAGGCTGACGCCCTTATTACCATCCATGGCATAAAATACATAATCAGCTAAAATTTAGACCCCTTTTGACCAACACCATCCTGCTTATATGCTAATACATAATGAGTTGTTTTACTCTGAAAATACACTCATAGAATTAAAATTTAACTTACTTCCATGAACACTGTGAATGAAGAAAAGCTCATTTTCAATTCTCCTAACTGTGCACACAGGCTGGACAGAGTACTTTTCCACCACAGTTCAGATGCTTATTGATAACTTAATGACATCTCCTAATTAACTGGCACTGTTGCTTTAGCTTTGAATGATGCACTAATTGTAATTATTTCAATGTGATATGGTGACTATAATGGCTAATGTCCTCTTTTCTGATAAAGTGCTTGATTTAAGAATGTGAGCAACCCGCCTATATTACCTTTAAATGTTTAAGGAAACACTTCTTTTCACTTCTTGTTTTTCCTGTCTTCCTTCTCTCACCCCAACCAGTCACGGCAGAGAGCCGTCCCTCCCTGAGCCTGGATCTGCTGGAGGTTTCTTCCTGTTAAAAGGGAGTTTTTCCTTCCCACTGTCGCCAAAGTGCTTGCTCATAGGGGGTCATATGACTGTTGGCTTTTTCTCTGTATGTATTATTGTAGGGTCTACCTTAGGGTCTACGTTGCCTTGAGGCTACTGTGTTGTGATTTGGCGCTGTATAAATAAAACTGAATTGAATAACTAAATTCTATTAGCACGATCCAGCTGTCAGCAGCTTCAATATGACTCGTATCAGCTGGCAAGAGGATGTTTGCACATCTGTACTATCCTTAGCCAAACAATCATTTTGTACCCAGCATTATAAAGTGACATGGTTGATGCAATAGCAAAATTCATTGCATCCACCCTTTCTGCTCTTGAAACAATATCACAGGGTTGCTAAAGTGGCATTTTATTTAGACTTAGAAATGATTCTTACTTGCAGAGTCTGGGAGGTTTTACGACAGACAGCTTCCAGCTGCAGCACTGAATCACTCTTGCTTTGTCAAATTTATTGGGACACAGTCAATCAATAAACAATAAAGGGTGTCACTTTCACAGCAGATAAATACCTTTTAAAAAACAGCGACATCTACTTTTCATGGATTGAAGTCTTGGCAGAATAATAACACAAATTGAATTCGTTGTGTTTTACTGGGTATGAGTGCTGCTGGTTTTGCCAGTAGGGATTAATTTTACTTAATTTATTGTGAACAGATCCTGACATCAGGTATTCTGACAAATGCTAATGTTGCTATCAAACAAGCTGTTGGCGTTGGATCAGCTGGAAACCAAGGACCACTGCAGTGGTTTACTTTTCATCAGCGTCTCCAGCCAAGAGGTTGTCGAATTCTGCTGGGTAAGACTCTGACTCTAAACTGTCGAGCTTGGCACATCCTTCACTGGATCAATGGAGAGGATTGGAAATAACTGTCTTTTAAAGTCACTTGGGTCTGATTACTTCTTTGTGATGGGATAAATCAAAATCTGTCATCTCAACATTTTTAAACACCTAATGATTAGCCACAACATTAAAACCACTCTTAGGGAAAGTGACAGCCCTCTGGCATCCCTGGGGCATGAATTAGTGATGTTTATCATACAGGACTAATTTGCGCTCATTCTCCTTTGCATGGATGCCTTGACCCATGTAGCATAAGAGAAACTGAGCAGCCATCCCCTGTCGCTCGTCATGTGTCAAAAACAAAGCTGGGGGGTACGTTTTTAACCCAAACCACCATCTCTTCCTTAACCCTAACCAACCAAGTTGTTTTTACAGAATAAACTGAGTGGACGTGAAAGCAACAAGCACGGAGGAACAAATAAGTGCAAAACCAGCGCTCAATTACACCTCATGCTTAATGGATAGATGAAGGAAGCTTACAGTGCATCAGGATGAGAAGACAATGAACAACATTCTGCCCCAGCACCTCGCCGACGGCAGCATCCTCCCCAGCAGAAAAATACACCATGACTTCACAGCAATTTCTTAAAGATAACAACAAAAAGAGGCTGACCCATAGTTTCATACTCCACAGAGTCCACAGGATGCCCTAAAACAGCCCACAGCCGCAATGATCCACAGCTGAGACCACAGGACGCCTCATCAAGAGGTCCCATGTCGACACGCCGATGGCTGAGAGGTAATCTGGGGCACGAGGGTGGCATACACGATTGTGCACTGTATGTGGTTTTAATGTTGTGGTTGATAAGATGCAAATTTGCGTGAGATGTATGCAGCTGTAAGCGTGTGCTATCTATGGCGCTGCCTTGGTACGTAGTTGTCCAGGATTCGAGGGCTGCAGTGAGTAATGTACTGCAGAGCCGGATCTGAATAGTTGAAGGGTGGAGGGTTGTACTGCTCCGGGATGTAGTTTGGATACAGGTGGGGGATTCTGGAAGAAAACACACAGGCCAGACATACTAAAGAAGTAAACATGAAATCACCGCAGTCTACAGGTCATGATTCTGTATTCATATGTGCATTTTTCCGGACAAGGAGATGGTGGCAGAGTCTTGGATTAAATGGGTCCATACGTAGTACAGCCTGGTTGCAGCATCGACCTCTATCGATAGCAGGTGTTCTCTGTAGATTCTACTGTATTTTCTTTTAATCTGATTAATACCCGTCCACGTTTCCACACAATAGACAATAATTTCAGTCAAATTTATGGAAATGTTTGGATGGGCAGCAGTTGTTGTGGAATACTCACTGACTCATGCATATTCATGCAGGCTCCAGCACAGTGTTGAAAGAGGTTGAAATCTGGGGCTAAAGCTGATTAAAAACATGAAACACACATCCCCAATGGCTCTCTAGATTCACCGTCGTCTGATTAGCCATTCACTGGTGTCTGATGGTATATAATTACAGTTGTTCTTTGTGCAAATATGTATATCCTCACTGATAATGAGGTACAGGCTGTGGAACCTGCTGTACCATGAGTCATTCTGTGAATAACAGACCCAAAACAAAAACACATATCTTGCCAAGTGATTCTTTGTAATGCTGCCAATTGAATGTGCAAACCTCCTCAGACCCTTTGTTTGTTTCTTTATTAGAGTTAATTTTGTGATATTGCTCAGTCTAAACTGCAGTCAGAGTGTTGAAATGTTATATCCAAAGCTGATTTTATAAGATATTTGATGCAGCCTGATGGAAAGAGTGAAAAGAAGGAAATAAAACTATAGCTGCTCTATCATAAGGACTACTATCATATTATTAAGTAATCCAAGTATCTGTTTTTCTCTGAAAACATGATAACTACCTCCCTGGATTTTTATTGTTCACTTTACTTTAACAATCTCAGAATGCTTGTACCGTCCCCTCCCTGTCTCTTGGTATGGCAAACGTCAGACTCTTATATAGTGCTTTTCTACTCTCGGAGTACTCAAAGCGTGCATACAACATGCCTCATTCATTCACCCATTCACACCAACTCATACAATATGTCCTCAAGTGCAATCTCACCAATTGCACTTCAGTGAATGCATTCACACTCTGACGGACACATCAGAGACTAACTTGGGGTTAGTATCTTGCCCAAGGATATTTGGCATGCAGACTGGGGAAGCCAAGGATCGAACCACCAACCTTCCAGTCAGTAGCTGATCTGCTCTACCACCTGAGCCTCAGAAAACCAACAGCAAGCCACTCTAATACCTCATTTGGATGCTCTATGTCCGTGCGGAAGTCATAAACAGATCTGCGGTGCACTTTTTAACGCACGCACACACAGATATATATTTAATATTTATCTGGATATATCAGGTCATCAAAAAGGACTACATAAAAACACATATAATATAAAAAGCTTAAAAAGATCAAAAACTACAGTTTTTTGTTGTTGTTTTTTGAAGAAGAAGACATTTCAAAATACCGTTTTTTCCCCCACACTATAAGGCACACTGAAAATCCTTTAATTTTCTCAAAAATCAACAGTGTGCCTTATGTATTAATTCTGGTTGTGCTTACTGACCTCGAACTGATTTTATGTGGTACTTTGGTAAGGTATGAAGCCGCACCGCTTGATAGCTAACCCCTAACCCTAACCCCCGGATACTATAGTCAGGAGTCTTGCAGAGTAATACCTACTGTGCTTCAACATAATATTATGGTGTGTGTATAAGGACCCCAAAATGGCACCTGTTAAGAGACACACTGAAATTCCCCAACTGTCAAACTCAGACACTGAAGATGAAGAATTTGATGGATTTGTGGAAGAGGAATGAACTGAAAAAGCGAGTGTATTGTTTTATATTTTTTGTGTTACAACTGAACAATGTTGAGAGTTATTTTGAATGAGTTGAATAAAGTTCGACTTATCTGACAGTTGTGTTTCGCTTTATGCGCCTTATAATCCGGTGCGCCCTATAGTCCAAAAAATACGGTGTAAATTGTAACTGTCTTGCTTTCTTTGCATTCTTTCCTGGAGCACTCTGTGAACCAGAATCTAGCAACTAGCAATAAACAAAAACATGTTTGGGAATTTGAAGTCATTTCCAGTTCATTGAGATGAAAAAACTAAAGTCAATATTTTAGATTAAAAATACACAACCTAAAAGTCAGTTGCATGAATGAAAGACAAAGCAAGCTCATAAAGAAAGCGCAAATAATGTGTGTGTTCCTCACAGCTCTAATTCCCTGCACCTGTGCACCAGTTTTCTTATTTTGGCTGCTCATAAAGAAGGGGAAGGGGTTATCTGTCTCACCCTAGCACTAGCATCCTCCTTCACTACATCTATGAATCTTCACTGTGGGCTTCACTTTCACTTCCTGCCTTGCAGCTCCAGCTTCAACATCTGTTGTTCAATATATCTGCTACCCCTCCTCTTCAAATGTCCAAACCATGTCAACCCTTTCTAACTTTCTATCCTTTTGTCATTAACCGCCCTTAATACTCGTCTCCATCCACTCCACCCCATCCACACTGTCTTCATTGTGCATTGCATCTGTTGCTTTGGATGGTTGACCCCAGCTATTTAACTCATCCATATTCACTACCTCTAGTCCTTGCACGTTCACTGTTACATGACTTTAGATACTGCCGCCCTCTTATTCACATACATGTATTCAGTCCTCATGCCTTCGTTAGTCTAACAGTGGCCACTCTGAAGCCTGTGCCCCCAGTGCCCAACACCTACATCTAACATCAACATGTAACAAAATTCGATACCTGATATACTGGCTATATTTTCAATACCAAATTATACACAGAGCTAGCTGCTAGCAGTTTCCCCATTGCCTGCCTTCATGCTAAGCTACGTTCCTGCTCTCTGTAACTTCATATTTACCACACAGATATAAACGTAGTAACTTTCTCAGGTAAGTCAGCACACAAGAAAATAGTAGTCAGTAGTTTCCCTTTCAAAAAAGGTTTAAACTATTCCTTTAAAACAGGAGCGTCAAACATAAGAGTTAGATTTAGCCCACAAAAGACTCCAACTGGAAAATGTTAAGAAGGGCAGAGATTTTGGACTTCTAACTGTGTTTTCATATGTTTTACAGGTTTCCCTACTGATCAAGACCTCCCACGTGGTCATTCATACTGCACTAAAGCAACTAAAGAATAGAAAATTATTCTGTGAATTAGCAAAAACCTAGCAACCTAACTTTTGCTATAATTTTAAACATCTATTTTAGATACATTTGGTCCACCATGTAAAATGAGTTTGACATCCCTGCTTTAAAACATTGCAATAGCTGACTGATTCACAGTGCTGTTTCAGACATTTTCCTGAAAGCCAACATTGTCTCTAATTATAAATAAAACCTGAAAGATTTGTTCCACCGATGAATGTTCTCCCCTCATCAATACACTGGTTTAGGCTTTATTGTACCCGTAACTATTCCTCAGTATTACCCAAGTACAGTTTCATAACTTCGGCCCAAAGCTGTTAGTAGGAAGTGTCTTTGTTTAATATAGCAGTAGAGTGGGCAGTCTGTACTCCAACTGAGAAGTTAAATAGGAGGACGACGGTGCTGCAGCAGCAGAACAGCAGACAGGATTTAAATCCTTCAAGTTGCTGCAGAAGATTGTCTCTGGGCAGACCTACTTGACTACTGTACCTTGAAATGCACAGTGTGTAACTGTGTTTGTGCGCAAGCAGTGTATGTGCGTGTTGGCCCGGTCACTCCTTGCAGCAGTATATCTTTTGATGACCTGCAATAAACCTCGTTTCACCCTGCCCAAAGGAGCTGCTGACCCACCTGAAAGCATGTTTTATATTTATTCATTAGAGTTTTAGTGCCCCACGAAGGTCTGGCTAATTTGTAGGCTTTGTCTCAGCACAGCTTTTGTGAGGCTGTAAAGCTCATTACAAACCAGAACACACTGATGCATGGTGCTCACTGTGCGCCAGGAGACAACAGTGTCATATGAATGAAAAAAAAAAAAAGAAACACACTGGAAATTAACACCGCTATTCTTGGATCTTAAAGGGCAGTGAGTTCATGGAACATTAATTCCTAGCTATCAAAATGTAGTGTTAGTCAATGAAAACACTAACTTTTATATTTCAGTTTGCATTCATGTTATTTATAAATTTAAAACTGTATATAAGCTCGTGTCACTCACTCTCCAGTAACAGTCTTCTTGCGGCAGCAGAAGAAGCAGGCCAGAACAGCCAGGAGCAGCAGCAGCAGCAGAGGGATGCAGATGCCCAGAACCAGCCCCAGGACCAGGTCTACCTCTGTGCCTCTCACTTCGTTTCTTTCTGTAATAGATCAGCCACTAATGAGCCAAATAACAAACTTTGTCTTGTCTTTACAGGCCTGTGATCTCTCAGCCTCAGACACAACACATACAACTCAGTAAAAGGAAGACGAGTGAGATTTCTATCAAACAATGGTTGCTATGCAACCTGAGCAGCGTTTTGAAGGTTACTAATTTGGTAACTTGATGTACGGACACAAGATGCACGCTCACCTATGATGCAGGACTGGCGTTTATTCACGTCAGTCTCGTTGCAAATACACTGGTAGCCACCGTAGGTGTTGGTGCACAGAGCAGGGTGGTCACACTTATACTCGTTACTACTACACTCGTCCACGTCTGTAGGCAGGGAAACAGTCTTACTAACACTGTTATGCTTCTGCTAATAAAATACACAAAAATACACGCATAAATATCCAAATAATGACGTCAGAGTATGCATGTGTCGTCCATGCAACAGCGTTTATGCTAATGTCTTTAATGCTGAACTCCAGTTGAGTAGATTTTTTGTGTGATTAAAAGTTAAAAATAATCTTTATTTATCTTGTACCATGTCTCCGTGCAGCTTTCCAGTTCATCGTCTGTCTTAAACAAGCTGTTATAAACCAACTTTCTTCTGATTAGCTTTCCCTCACAAGCAGAAGGCGGGATGGGTGCGGCTTCTCTGCTTGCAGCTATATTATTGACATCTTACAGAAACAAGTGGGCTAAAACCTTTGAGAAACCTGGAATTTAGAGGAGTCTGAAGCCTGAACTCTTGCATGCTCTGACCTCATTACTTGAAACTTTGGCTGTGTTTATAATCGGCATACACACTAGTAACAGCGCATATATAGATAAAAGATATTTTACCATTAACTTCTATGGCATGGATGCCAAAGTGGCTGCTGACTCTGGTCAGGTAGTCTGTGATGTACCAGTGGGGGGTGTCACTGGACACTTTGATTCGATATTCATGCACATCTGGTGTGAATTCCTGATTGATCTCGGTGATGTTATAATACTTGTTTGTAAAACCTTTGGTTAACATGTCATCCAACTGAGAGAAAAAAGAGATTATGATTGTAAACTACTGATAAACCTGTGTTACTGTTACAGATGAACGTGTTACCAGACATCTCTGATGTACAAACACACCTGTTGGATCCCACCAGCTGCGTTCTTTTTCCAGGTCACAGAGACATTGAACATGTTATAGCCTGTTGGCAGAAAGAGCAGCTTTAAGCATCTTTGCTATAATAAACGCGGATGTTTTCCATAAAACACCAGAGGAACAGGTGAGCTGTGATGAAGCTACAGGGGAAACCATATGGGTGCGCTTACCTGGGGGATTAGGAGAGTCACCTGCAGAGAAACACATCAGCTGAGTTATAATAAACCAGCAGGTATGCTCTGCTGTAGAGCACAACTACAGTTTTTACATATGCAGAGACTACAGCAACTTCAATTTGTGCCTTTCTGAGTGTGGAGGTGATTGTAATACTCCCTCACTTTTAAGAGAGTCAGTTTCATCAATAGGCTGTACATAAATGATGGAAGTAGGCACCATGAGTTAAAGCAGCGGTCCCCAACCCCCGGGCCTTGGACCGGTACCGGTCCATGAGTCGTTAGGTACGGGGCCGCGAGATTTGAGGCTAAGGTGTGAAATGTATG